TCAACTCGGTCTTGTGATGGCTCCTCTGACTTTAGGTGGAATGAACCCTTTTATTGGGGACAAACCATTCAAATGAGGCAAGGGGTAGGATTACAAAGGAAAAGATGTGTGTAACTCAACCCCAGCAGGTAGCGGACACCTGAAGTCACGCCTTGCTATCCCAGCTGGGACAATGCCCAAGTCACTACAGAAAATGTAGTGATCGGTCAGGGCCCGGTGCTTCAGGACTCAAGGGCGCTTGCTTCCAGAGCAGCTCCCGACGTCACGGTCTCCGGCATGCTGCCTGGCCTATGGCAAGCCTTTAATAAATGCTACTTCAACAAAAGTCAACAAGAGGGGAAGAGGGTGAGGGGAGATGTGGGGCCCAGGGGTGTGGCCAACCTGCCAGCTGCCACCTGCCCCTTGACGGGCTGTGGACCACAGCACAGCCTCTCCCACAATGTGCTCCACAGGGAGGAACTCTGCTTCCGCTACCAAAGCTRTCAATGAGTGCTCCACACCCCCACCCTAATCCCTGCTCCCGTGGATGTCTCCTATAAAGCCAAAGAGGGGGCRCCAAGAGTAAAGGTCAAGGGAGGAGGGCACACTGCTGAGAGTCACTCTTTTTCCAAGTAAATGCTAACATTCCTGCCCTCTCCGATGGATGGACACTGCTTCTATTAGAAATATCTCTTCAGTGGCTGCTGAAAAGAATTTCTGGGAATATTTCAGRATGTCTTGGATTCGTTTAGAGAAAAGCTGAGCCTGGAAATGCGGAAAACGAAAACAACTAAACTGTGGAGATGGATAAGGAATTCATTCATCAAATGTTTATTGAGCACCTGCTATGTGACAGGCACTCTTCCAGGTGCCAGAGGGATCAAAGTTCTTTCTTTCTTTTTTGGTACCAGGGATTGAACCCTGGGGTACTCAACCACTGAGCCACGACCCCAGCCTTTTAAAAATATTTTATTTAGACACAGGGTCTCGCTGAGTTGCTTAGGGCCTGAGTTGCAGAGGCTGGCTTTGAACTCAATGATCCTCCTGCCTCAGCCTCCTGAGCTGCTGGGATTACAGGCATGTGTCACCCTGCTCRGCCATCGAAGGTCTTTGTAGGGATAGCAATGACCCTATAACTAAGAAACTGCATCACAGTGGGAGGCAATGGGTCCAAACGTGGAAGAACCGTCAAGGCAATGCTGGATTGTGATATGTGCCATTGGGAAGGTGGGTTGAATGCGTCTCCTTCAAAATCCAGCATTGAAACTTCATGGCCACTGTGATGGTTTTAGGAAGTGGAGAATTTAAGAAGTGATTAGGTCATGAGGATGCCCCTTATGAATAGGATTAAATCCATAGAAGAGTGGTTTTCTATAGCTCAGAGCTTCTGGCTCACTCATCAGTCCACCTTCTGCCACGTGGAGACACACTCTGACCCCTTTCTGGAAGATGCAGCAACAAGGAGCTATCTTAGAAGCAGCAAGTAGGCCTTATAAGACAACCCTATCTTCCAGAGACTTCATCTTGAATTTCCCAGCCTTCAAAACTGTGAAGAAAGAACTTCTCTTCTTTGTACATTAACTAGTCYGTGGCATTTTGTTATAGCAGCACAGGATGGATTAAGATACAAGGTGATAAGATGGAAAGTACTTGAGATCATATTAGGAAAGCTCTCTCTGTGAAGGTGACCTTTTAGACAAGATCTCAAGGATGCTCTGAGGTGCAGGGCATATGTCAAGGCCCTGAGGAAGTTGGAAAAAGAGATCTTGGTGGGCTGATACTGCGAACATGGGGATAGGATCAAGATGAGAGGCAGATAGGGGGCAGACATTTTGTTGTTGAGATCATGGAGMGGACTTTAGGTTTGTTACAAGTGCAGGGAACCTAATAAATCAACAGAAAATTTCTATTTATTATAACTAATTTAAAAATATTTTATGATGGGGAGGATAGAAGAGAGAGAGCGCTATTATTTCCTCCCACGTGCAGATTTTTTTTTTCAGCTGGGTTTTTCCACATTCCACTGATTGCCTCATGTACTCCAATCTTCTGCTTTTCTCAGTAACTGTTATTAATTTGGGGGCAGTTCATTTGTGTCAGATTCTCTCCTACATTATTCACAGTTATTATTTTATCCCCAACCAAGAGATATGTGTGTACCGATTGTCCCCATATGATTGACGAGGCAGTGAGGGCCCGGAAGCTATGCAGCCAGTTCTAGACATAGCTGGTCAGTTCTCCCCTCCCTCCTCCTCAGTGGCCCTGCTTGCAGTCAGCTCAAACTCATCGCCATTAGTGACCTCCTCAATTGCCAAGTGTGTGGCCTTTTCTTTGAACTATTTATTCCCATTGGTTCTTTGGGTCTTCTTTTTCTTTAAACTCTCCCTCCTCTGGCTTTTATCCCATGGTTATCTTCAACTTCCCTCTTCCTTCTGAGCCATTCCCTTAATCCCCTGCAGATTTCCTCTGTTTCCATCCTCTTATGTAGCTCCGCCCATGGCTTCCATATCCCACGAAGGTGGAGCTTTCATTAAAATTTTCTCTTAGGATTGAGGCAAGTACTTTTAATTTCCTGATCCAGCATTTAGTAAACAAGCATTTAGGTTTTTTTKGGGGGGGTGGGTGAGTATTGGGGATTGAACCCAAGGGTGCTTAACCACTGAGCCACATCCCCAGCACCCCCCCTTTTTTTTGTATTTTATGTAGAGGCAGGGTCTTGCTGAGTTGCTTAGGTTCTCACTAAGTTATTGGGGCTGGCTTTGAACTTGCAATCCTCCTGCCTCAGCCTCTCCAGCCACTGGGATAACAGGCAAGTGCCATCACACCTGGCTTAGTTTTTAATCTATTGAGCACTTGCCACATGCAAAGAACTGTGCCAGGCACTGGTGAGAAGGTGATAGTACAGCTGGGCCTCTGGTACAATGGAGGAAGCTTTGCTGTAGAGTTCAGCACTGGGCCAGGTATTTGTAGGTGCTCAGTAAATATTTGCTGGATGATTGATTTTATTAGGGAGGCAAACTTGCATGTAGTTGCCTCTAATTCAAAGTTGATTGAAGAAAGTGCTGTATAAAGATTCTGGCCCGTGGAGGTGGGGGAAGATTGCTTGCCAAAGGAGTGGGAAATCTTCAGGGAAGTGATATTAGCTCTGAGCCTTTAAATCACCTCAAATCCCAAGGATGTTCAAGAAGCAGCAAGTGGTATGGCGTGCTGAAGCATGATTCAAGAAGGTTGAAGGGATATGATCCAGACTGTGTTTAGAAAGCTCACTGGGTGCTTATTGTAGAGAATGGCTTTTTTGAAAACAAACAGAAATGGAAAGACCACTGAGGTTGCTGCATCATCCAGAAGAGTGGTTGCTTACCCAGATGAGGCCAATAGCAGAGCAAAAACCAGAGAGAGGATGGATGCAGGAATGGTGTAGGAGCGGAATCTATGAGCTTAGGTCTAGCACTGAACTAAATAAAGGGGAATAAGGAAGAAGAAGGAATCTTTTAAAAATGGTTTTGACTGTGAACCAAAATACCTTCAACTGTCATGTATAACAAATTAGAACAAATAAATTGATTTAAAAAATGGTTTTGAGTTTTCTTATTGCATAGTGGTGGTGAAGTTTCTCAAACAGGAAACAGAGGAGAAGGGGCAGATTTGATAGGAACTATGGTAGAAACTGAGATTTATGTTGATAAATTTCAGAGATGCTGAGGAGCACATAAAATGGAGGCATCTTGCTGCGACCAGAAAATCAAAGCTGGATTTCAAGAAATTTGGGAACCTTCAGTCCTCAAGGAGGCAACTGACATCACCGGATCTGATGTCATTTGTGGGAGAGAATGACACTTATTCACTTAAGCAAAAAAGAGGGTTGCTGGCTGTGGACACCTGTTGAATATTTCCATATTTCTGTCCTGTGGGAGTCGCAAATTCAGCACATCGAAAGTAGAATTAATTACTTGTCACGTCTCCTCAGGCTCCTCTCGGCTGTGACAATTTCTGAGACTTTTCTTGTCTTTGAAGATCTTAACAATATCAAGAAATGCTGGTCAGGCATTCTGTAGGCTCTCTCTCTGCTGGGGTTTGATTTTTTTTTTTTTTTCCTGCTTGTGATTAGGTTAAGGTTATGGGTTATAGAAGGTAAGTGCCATAAAGTGCCAATCTCATCACATCGAGTTCCTACACTATCAATATGATTTAGCACTGTTGACATTAACCTTGATCACCAGAGTGAYAGTGTCTGTCAGGTTTCTCCACTGTAAAGTTACTCATTTTTGCTGCATTTTCACACTGTCACTATGCACTATGCACAGCTCACACTTACGGAGTTGGGAGTTATGCTTGAGCGTGGGGTAGCTACATAAATTACTTGGGAAATTTCTCTTCCTCATTTATTTTTTTCACGTACTTAAGTCTGTATGGAAGGAAGACTATTTCTTTATACTTTGCTATAATTCAACATTTGTTTTATAGCTCAAGACATGTATTTTTTTATAAATTTTTTTTTTAGCTGTAGATGGGACACAATATCTTTGTTTACTTTTTTTTATGTGGTGCTGAGAATCGAACCCAGTGCCTCGCACATGCTAGGCAAGCGTGCTACCACTGAGCCACAACCTCAGCCAAAGACAAATAACTCAATGYAAAATCGCCCCCTCTCAAAGGTCGTATTAACAATTGTTAATAACAAAGATCCATTTCTTCCCAACCTCACAAACCCTCAGCGTCCAACTTGCTGCCGCCCCTAACAGAGACCAGGCCAGCTCTCMGGGTCTTCCCCAAGGCCCCGCAACGCCCCGCTCTGCCTCACCTGGCCATCCAGCTAACCCTATTTGCTCCCTTCTTTGCTCCCTGCCCAACTTCCCAGCTTCCCCGTGGCCCCGCCCACAGAGGGGCGGAAGTGGGAGAGGCCGCGGGACGGAAGCGCTGGTCCTGGGCGGGCCCTTTAGCAACAAGCCCCTCCCACTCCGCCACTGCCCCACCCCTCCGGCCCAGACCGGAAATGAGGTCAGAGAGGGAAACCCCGGCGGGGAGACTCGGCCCAAAAAGCGGCGCCCGTTGGAGGTGGCTGTGGCAGCCGGTGAGGGGGAGGCGTGGGTTGAGAGGGTTGGGGTCCAGGGCCAAAGACTGGGGGGATCAGCACTCTAGGATGCGGCTGGGCGGCAAAGGGCGCCAGGGGGCCGCGGTGGCCGGCGGGAGCGACGTGGGTGGTGGGGCCTTGTTTTTCAGGGCCTGTCTCCCCCATCCCAGGCGGTGAGGGTCGGGCGGCCTCCAGGGCAACAGTTTCCGTCTCTCCTCTCTCTGTTTCTGTTGGGTCGGCAACAGCGTGGGCGTGGTGTTCTTAGCCGTGGTCGCCCCAGCCCTCGGGGCCGGGTGGGGATGGTGGGGAATCCTTCTAAACAAGGTTTTTCACACATATGTGGTCCTTTTGCGGCCCTCGAACTCGGAGGGAGCCCCGTCACCAGCAGTTGCTGTTTGGCAGTTTTTGCCTTAGAAGGGCTGMCTCCCGTGTCCCAGGTCCAAATGAGAAGTTACCTTCCTGCCTCCCAACCTCCCACCCCTTGGACTCACCGCTTGGCCCTCTTCTGACTTGCTGACCACTAGCTTCCTATGTGTGATTTGGACGGCTTGCTTCTCCTCCGGGGCGTGCCTGGACTCGGGGTCCTCTCGGGCATCCCAGAGCGATTGGAGGTGTGGGAGTCTCTCTTCTATTACCTGCGTTCCAATTGCAGTTTTTGAGGTAGGGTGGGATTCTGCACAAGCATTTGACTACTTTGGTAATTTCATTCCACGTTTGTTTACTCAGTTCGGCCTGTTTTTAAAGCAGTAGCCCTTTATTGGGGAACGAGATTTAGATGTGCTTTTCCCACTTGTTTATCTATTTTATATATCTATATCTTTCTTAGGAACAGTTGTCTTCCAAATCCCTATCATGGCATTTAAAACAACTTATTGCTTAAAAGGATATGGCCTTTATATATATGTGGCTTTTGACACTTTAAGAAGTTTTGTTTGGATGGTACTTTTGGAACTAGTTGTCTCCTTCTTCCCACGTTGTGTCGCATAAGCCAGAAGACTTTTCCTGCCTTTGAATTCTTTGGCCATTTGTCCAAATAGGAACAGAGTGAGAGTAGGTTTTAGAAAGCCCTTTGCAAAATATAAACTGCATGAACGGAAATATGGTCTGAGAGTGGTGCCACACAGTTTTAAGCTCTAATTATGGTCTTGAAATACTTTGGGCTTAACAAGGGCTAGGGAGAAAGTGCTAATTTAGTGTGTGTTTGTGTGTGTGTGTGTGTGTGTGTGTGTATTTTTTTTAATTAGGTATTGTACAGATTATATTGGACATTTCCTTTTATGAGGCAGTTTTGAAAATTGCCTCTGCTACTCTCATCCCTTCAAAGGTTTGCCTCTGATAGTTTGACAAGTATGAGTAGAAAACTAGGAAATTTTGGAAAGCAGTTAGTTAAAAATTTGAAGACACTCTGTCCCATCCCTGTCATTTCATTTTTCATTTATTTCCTATTTTTGTGTGATTATGTGGCATTAAAGTACATAATTAGGATGATCAGGTTGGGGAATGGAGCCTAAAAGTTTCTAAGTATCAAAAAATAATAATGACATCTGTAAGGTTTTGTACCCAGTAGCTTCCAGATGGTACCCAAATGGTACCAAACTTAGGCTCTTCTTTCTGTTCTGACTACAAAACTGGGTCACTACAAATTCTTGAATCACTAAAACTGCAAGCAGTCTTCCTTGAAGTGTGTCCCCAAGTTCTCTCTCTATTCCTGCCACATGCATTCTCAGCAGTGATCCCAGACCACAGAGTAGTCCTTTATCCATTCTCAATATCTTGGCATCACTGGGTCCCACCCTTGTTCTCCCATCTCTACCATGGTTTTAAAGTTGTCTGTTCTATTCCTATCTGATGAAACATTTTTAATCTTTTTGGGTCTTTTCAACAGATAATTCACTGACAAATTTAGTTGGGGAGAAAGGAGAAAGAGAGTTTGCTTGTTTTTGCTAATATCCCAGTTGCTATCTGGTGAATAGTTGAGTTTTTGAACTTAAGGAAATGTTAACTTGACATTAAACAAAAACAAACACCCATTTTTAATGCCTTAATGGATCATGAATGGTAAGAACAGAGACTTACATGTAGTTAGTAAAAGGTGTCTTTATTTTTTATAGATAGATTGGAGATTGGACTCTGAATTGCTGTAATCTGTTTTATAAAATTATTTGAAAACAACAGAGCCTATTCAGGTGTTTTTTTCTTTTCATTTTTTTCAATATTGAACTTTTTTTTTGCAGATGTGGCCTCATGGATGAGCTGGTACATGACTTAGCCTCAGCCTTGGAGCAGACATCTGAGCAGAATAAACTTGGTGAGCTGTGGGAGGAAATGGCCCTGAGCCCTCGGCAGCAGAGGCGGCAGCTTCGGAAGCGCCGGGGCCGGAAACGCAGGTCTGACTTTACTCACCTGGCAGAACATACTTGCTGCTACAGTGAGGCCTCTGAATCAAGTCTGGATGAGGCCATTAAGGATTGTCGAGAAGTGGCCCCAGTCACCAATTTCAGTGACTCTGATGACACAACGGTAGCCAAACAGCACCCAGCTTTCAATGCCATAGTTAAAGAATAAGCAACATTCTTGGCACAAATCTGATTTCTTTACTGAAAATGCACCTTGTCACCACTCAGTTGCCAGCAGAAGGTGGCTGCCAGCCTTCAGAGAAGCCTGAAAGTTCAGACTGGAGCTGAGAGAGGCTGCCTGCTCAAGTCTACTAAGGAGCAGTGTTGTCCTGCTGGAAGGAGAATACTCCCTGGACTTCATCAGGCCATGGGTTGTGTGAATCAGCAGAAAACAGGACTTTCCTAAGCAAAACAGGAAGGAAAGAAAGAATGGAGTGTGAAGCAGATGAACAAAAACAGGGCTCTGATGAGAACATGTCGGAATGGTGAGATCTCCCTTGCATGGATGCTGTTTATGCCACATAGTTCATACGTAGATACTGTCCTGTTGCACCACAGTCTCAGTAGAGGCTGGAGTGTGTATGTGTGTGTGGGAAAATGCACAGGTGCCAGGCATATGCAGTTAATAAATGTTCCTGGTATGACACTTTTCCCCTTTAAAAATTGTGGTTTTAGGTACTCTTGAGGTGTAATTCTATGCTCTGCTACTTACAATTTGACTATATTGAATATATTTTTTATAGCAGATATTCAAGTTGTCTGAACACATGGTGGGCTTTAAAAATAACACTGTTCAGTCCCATTAATCTTAGACCAAATATGTCAAGCCAGAGAAATTTGTCCCCAAGTGGGTGCATGCTTAAAATGTTGGTATGGTTTTGGATAACTTTTAATTTTTCTATATTTCAGATAGTTGTAGGAACATTAATACTCTCCAGCTTTAATATTAATTTGTGATATCTGTTTCTCAGCAAGAAATGCTACTGGCCTTTGGGAGTGACAGTTCTTTGTGGTGCACTGCAGGATATTTAGCATCCCTACTTTGGTCCTTCCAATTTTCATTGTATCAACCCAAATGACTTGAGTTCTCCAGGATGAGACTGTTTCTATTCTTATTAATATTGGTTTAACGTTTACTAAGCAATAATTGTGCGTGGCAGGCATTGTGCTATATGCTTTGTATAGTAAAATTGTACTATTTGTATTTTATGGAAGAGGAAACTGAGATTAAGAGTTTAGATAATTTGTCCAAAGTCACCCCGTGCCAAAATGGAGAATCAAACCCGATTTCAAAGCTCATATTTCACCATGTTTTGTGGCCCTCTGAGTTTGTGCCTTTTCCATGACCCTTTCCTGTCTCATCTTAACTTTTATAACTGTAGAACATATGACCTTTCTTAGTACTTGGCTTCTGAAGTTTGTCTTAAAAACAAAGACATAAATCTTGGGTACCTTGAGGTGAGGCTGTGTTGGTAACAGGGTAAGCTGTGTAGGTCTGTCTCCATGTTTTATGGGTGGTTTTGATCCAGCTTTTAAACTTTTCCTAACTTTGTATTTGTCAGTCTATTCAACTATATTGAGATGGGCTCCTGGTTTGGCTTTCTTCATTTTCCTCTAAGCCTAATTTGTCTTTAGGTCTGCTTACTCAACAGATGTATATTTTTGGATTATAAAGGTATTTTTCTTCCTCATCATGCCCTTTATTTTTTCTCCTGAGAATTTGAACCCAGGGCCTCACCCATGCTAGACAAGTGCTCTTCTGCTGAGCTACATCTCTAGCTCTTTTTATTTTGACACAGGGTCTGCTAAATTATCTGGGCTGGCTTCGAACTTGCTTGTCCTCCTGCCTCAGTTTTCTCAGATAAGCTGGGAATACAGGCCTGTGCCTCTGCGCTTAACTTATCATGCCATTTTTAATCAAACAAGAACTGCTTAGTCAACTTCTATCCTTTCATGATATTGAAACTCTCTGTTGAGATATTCAAGTTTGTTTTAATATGAAGCATATATAGCTTATAATCTTGTTACTGTTGAAAATGGCAGTTTTACTCCAGTGCTGCAAAAAAAAGAAAATGGTAGTTTAAAAAAATAGTCTGTTGGCTATTCAAATTTCTTGTTAAACTGTGAAATAATTGTATGTGTTAGATACTTTTAACTGTCTACTCTAAGATATATAGCTCCAAATGCAGAGCCTGTGGTCTTACTGTTACTTCTGTCTTTCTTTCTCTGAGCCTAGACCATCAATTGTGGTCAGGTTATGATGATATAAATTCTAGTCATCTGAGAGCTGGAGAAATTGAAGTAGACAGGAGTTCTTATGAAATTCTTAACTGTCTTCAAATTAAGAAGAACTCATTCTCCCATTTGGGCTATCTCTGTGGTCCGTGACTTCAGAGTTCTTTCAGTAATACAGATGCCAGAGTGCTCCTAGCTGTGAAGGAATAATGGGCAGAGTTACAGCAGACATGATCTGAGAAAAAGTCTTTTAAATCTTCTAATTATTTAAGATGCCCAAATTCCCCTTTTATCTGTAGTTACAAAAACAGAAGTGCTTTGTATTTTTTCCCCCTGAATCCATTCTGTAAGGAAAGAGGGGTCATCCTTTTTTATTCTTTGATTTCTTATGATGTTCAACTTTTATTCAGTAGTAAAGTGGAGCTAAAATCTTTTAATTTTTAAGCTCAGTTATTATTATTTTTAATTTTTTGTGATGCTGAAGATTTAACTCAGGGTTTTGTGCATGCTAGGCAAGTGCTGTACCACTGAGCTACATTCCCAGCCCAGCTAAATAGGACTAGCTTTAGAATGTAAAGTAGATAATAGTTTATGATTTGGATATGATTATTCTCTCTTGATGAGTTGATTCTGTCAAAAATTTTCTACTTTCTTTCTCTTGCATTAAAAGAAATACTTTCAAGAACCCTCTTGCTTATTCTTTAATAAATCTGCTTAGATGTGCCACAGTTTATTTACATATAGATCAAAGTGTAAAACTTTGCTTTTTATCAGTGGTGTTGAGAGTTGTCAGTCACCATCCATTTTGTAGAATTATTAAGATGAGGTTAATCATTAAGATTAGCCTTAGCTTGATCAGTAGTTAGAGTTTTTAAAAAAATATATTAGTTGCTTTAGATGTGAAAATGTCCATCTTAATCAGCTTATTTCTGATTCTCTTAAATTCTCTTTTTGCGAACTAAACAGAGTAGTTTTAAGTTTATGTATAAAGTTTGGTATATTTGATGTATTTACTTTTCTGTATTTACTTTCTGATGTATTTACTTTTCTGATCTCCCTTCAATTCTATACCAACTAATCCTTCATGGGTTCTGAGGAACTCAGTTATGATATAATAGGTTTTTTTTTAATGTTTGTATAAAGATCAAATTACGATCTATTGAATCTTTGTGTATTTATGTTTGTGAATACTTTAAAATGGGATGACTCTTATAAATGTATTTTTTACTAATCCTTATTCAAATTGTCTGTATAGCACCTATTAATTAGATGCCTGAAGTCTAATTTTGCTCTTTCTTCACTAACATATTATTTGTTTGTTTTCCTTAAATGTAGTTTACCTTCTTTTTCTTTTATAAGCGCATTGGTTGGGTGATGGCCTGAAGTCACATTCAGAAGCCTTTCTTAGATGATGTATTAGAGGCCTATCTCACAGGAAAGAAAATATTCCCTTCTCTTGGAAGGCAAGTGACAGAGATAGAGTGCTAAACCTCCCCCCTCCTTCTGCAGCCCAAGCTGACCTTCTGCGGCCCCTTGGTGCCTCTTGTTTTCTTATTTTTATAGAAAATCAATATCCTTTCTGACACAAACAATAGCTCAGAAGCAAGAATAAATGGGAGAAAGCTGAGATCTCTGTCTATCACCTCTCACTTGAACTCCCCCAAACTCTTTAATTATGAGTATGCTTTGCTCCAGGTGTTTGTGACAGTGAAATTGCTAAATGAGGACCATTTTAACCAAAGATTGGGTGATCAATAACACTCTATAGCAGTAGCTTGTTGGATCAATAACATTCATTATTTCATGGTTAAGGTAAGTAGCCTCCTTTGCAAGTGGAGGTCATTAATCAGGGGTTCTAGGAGCTGTGGAAAAGAATATATGTAGTAGGTTGAAGATGTTCTGTTTTCTATTCTGTAAATAAGGATGCTGACCAAGAGTGTATTTACCATTGTTGCAAGTGGTAGTATTCACTTCAGAGTATTGAATAGCTAGCTTAGTGTGCATATTTAGATTTAATCAAGGTTCTGCTAGTTTATCCTTAGGAACAACTGTAAAAGACAGCATGGGAAGTGGTATAATACTACTGTATTTGGAAAAAAGGACTATCCCTTGAAAGTTCCTTCTTGGAAGAAATGTTAGGATTATTCCAGAGAATTAGGACTCTATGATTAAAAAGTACATAGAGTTAAATATTTGCTTCAGTATAAAATATAACATTCTAAAAATTAGAACTCTGTAAAAACAAAGTGAATTGTTTTACTAAGTTCCAGATCACTAGAGGGAGTCAAGCATGGGCCTGAGGTCCCCTTAGTGTTACTTTAGAGTTGAGAAGGCTGAATTGAAATACGTTTAAGGACCCTTGCAACGAAAGGTCCTGTGATTCTTAACAATCACAACTTATTCCCACCTTTGTGACTTCTTAACAGGTATTTGAAGAGTAACCTCAACTTTCTACTACAGTACTTAAAATAAAAACTACATTCGCACATTCATATCATCATAAACTAGTACTACTTGACCCATTGTCAAGATTTCTTCAAACTGCAAGGCTAAGAACTGCACTGGAAAATGTAGTTAGAGGCTGATGTTGGCAGTGCTGATCCTGCCATGAAGGTTCGAGACCCTGAGTCCTTCTCCACAGGCAGCCCTTGGTTCAGAAGTACAAGGCCTGTCTCAGTCAGAAAATCGAGTAGTTGCACTTTTGTTTCATCCTGCACTTCCCGATCTGTATCTTTTAGTTTTTGTTTAGAGCCTGTGACTTCCAGAATACCCTTGGGTAGGGAAGTTTAATGTTTTCTCTGTGTGTGTATTTGGGTATAGCAGGCAGCTGCAGGGTGTTGAGTCCAAGAATAAAGTTTACTATTGGCCTGGCCAGAGAAGGAAAAAACCCTTTTTTTAGTGAACCTAGAGGTTGTAATGTTTTATTTATTTATTTTTCCACATTTTTATTGGTGCACTATATATAATAGATTTGTTATTTAAAACTTTTCTTTTTTAAATTGAAGATGGACACAATATCTTTATTTTATCTATTTATTTTTTTATGTGGTGTTGAGAATCGAATCCATTGCCTCACACTTGCTAGGCAAGTGCTCTACCACTGAACTATAACCGTAGTCCCTTGTTATTTCTTATTACATATTCATACATGCACAGGGCATATAATAATATAATTTGGTTAATTTTGTTTCCCAGAACTTTCCCTTTCCCTTTCCTCCTCCTTCCCACTGGTCCCTTTCTTCTATTCTAC